GTACCAAAAACTATCAATATTGAATTAGGTTTCGGGGTAGGCCCCACATAAACGGACACATCATTGGGTAACACAATTTGTATGATGTGCCGACAATAATTTATTGGGGGATTGAGGTGTAGCGATATTACTAGGTGACAACTTCTTAGAGTAGGAATGCTTTTTCTTTGGCAACAAGAACATATTTTTGGAGGGGAGGACGTGTTGTAGACAATTCAATGTTTGTATCCTCTTTGTGAGGAAAGCGTCTAATTCTATCCCAGAGGACAAAGACGATTTTTTTTTTATACTTTGCTCCCAAAGAGTCAAAGTCCATTTTGGCAAACGCTGCAAAGAAATGTAAACAACAATCGGATCCCCATGATCCGTGGCGACGTCATAGACTGACATTGCAGCAAGGCAACTATTTATCCCACCTTGGATAGTTTTAAGACCAGCAACAGTCTCAACTTTTGTGGAGGGGAGTTCAAACAAACATTTAAGGTGATTATTAACAACGATACGTTTATTCTTATACGTATCTGAGAGGGCTTTCCACGCTAGAGGGAACTACAATTGGTGGAAACGATTTCACGAGCCTCACCGGTGGTCTTCTGTATTAGATGACAGAGACGTTCAATGTCTGATATTTGAGACTTATTTATAAATATGGTGGTGAACAGATCCCGAAAAGTGGGCCAAGATATAAAATCGCCAGAGAAAGCTTGAATGTCGATAGGTGGAACAACTAGACTATATATATCGACAGGTGGATTGGTGTAGCTATTAGTGGTGAAAGCATTTTGAAATTCTGAAGCAACTATAGGAGTGGTGGACTGCACAGTATTCGAAGCTGAAGGTGGCATATATTTGAGACAATTTGGTGGAGATGATGAAATTGGTGGAGATTGTGAAATTGGTGGAGCTATAGCTGGGGAACTATTAAATAAAGGACTTTGAAGGCGATCGAGATTTCGATTTATGGAAGAATACGCAATAAATGCAGTATTGTACTTTTCCTCAACGACATCAATTTTAACAACCTGTGCAGTCTCAGATGCCGCAAGGTATGTTTTGTACCCATCATAGGTACACTTATCTTTATCCCATAACTCTCGAATTTCTGTATTGCGAATTTCGAGGCTGTACGTTGAATACTGGGATTCTGGATTTTTTTTCAAAGAATTCCACACTTTTTGGTAGCATGATTTTGAGCATGTTTTTCAACCAAATTGGCTACATTGTGTACATTGTAAATACCAAGGCGTATTTAATAAGGTGTAAGTGACAATCATATGGTTTTAAAGTTTTTTCTTTATTGTTTGTGAAATAAATTGTCAAAACAAATTTCTTCGACGTTTCATTTCTTTGAAACTTAAATTATGCTCAACAACAAAAAATACATTTATAGGAACAGAAAATGTTACAAGCCTTAAATGACGAAAAAATGTATTTTACATTGGATTCCTGGATAAAGGCCGCTGAAATATGGACCTCTAAAATTTGCAAGGAGCCTGTATTGGTATCTGCCCAGTGTTTGTCACACATATGGGCCTCTATAATGTTTCTAGTGCTTTCTCACGAAAATATCACAATGTGCAAGAAGATTATATTGAGTAGCTTTAAATAAGTCCATACGTTTAGGATATAAATCCTCTACCACCCTTAAAAGCAAGAAAATTGTATATTGAAATCTGCCCATTGGTATTTGCAAAATCTTAATACATAGTTAGGCACAAAATATTTGCAATTAAGGATAGATTCCGTAGAGGATCTTTATATGTATATTAATTTAAATTGGAAAGCATTGTGGGCCGTACTTCGGCCCGAGAATTTGACATACGCTTAAGGGGACCCCCCCATTCTCGGGGTCAAAATTTTTGTTGATATCATTAGAATCTACACTGATTAAAGAATGTCTCTGCAAAATTTCAAGTGAAAATCTCAAGAACTCTTGAAGATAAAGCCGATTTATTGTGTCAGCATCAAGTGACGACTAAAGGGCTTCTCAAACTTTAAACACGTTTTTCTCTTTTGCGAATGGCGGGCACGATAACTCAAAAACTAATAACCCAATCGGTTCCAAATTTTGCAACGTTTCTCTGGGAGTGTATAGCTCTCGTATGAACTAGGATAAAGCCAATCGGTGAAGATCTTCCTTATTTTTTAACTTGGGTTTTGGTAAAAAATCGGTGATTTTCCAAAAATATTTTTTCAAAGGTCCACCATTTTGTTAATTTTAGAGCGAAGTCAATAATCCTAGTTCATACGAGAGCCAGACATGTACTCTTTCTAACACCGTTGGAATTATCGGATTCCGATGTTCCAGTGAGGAGTTATCATACCCGCCATCAAAAATAAGGACTTTTCTTTAATTACAAAAAACAACAACAAAACAATAACAAAAATTTTTTGTAAATTATTTTTCTTCTCTTTTAAATCTTCAAATATATATGTGCAAAGTTACAAACCTTAACAAGCATTGGTATTGATTTACCAGCCCATTGAAAACCTTGAAAAATTAAAATAGAGAATGGGTGGGGTTCCCTTAAGACAATATTGGTATACAGGCTACGTAACACAATCTTCATTATTTTGTGGTCTTTCAGCGGCGATTTATGGCACACAACTTTTCCACTGAGAAGGGCTGATTTAGAAGCCACAATCAAGGGCAGGATGTGGTAAATTTTCAAAAAAAAAAAAAAAAAAAAGATTTCAGTTCCTCGTAGATAATTTGTTGACACAAAATGAAAACAAATACATATTTGTTTTTCAATGGTTGTGCGATTGACACGAAATTTTGCATATCGTTCTAATTTTTCTATAATGAAGTGTATTATATGTTTTGTACTCGATTCAAATTTAGATATAGATTCCATATATTTTATCGACTGATTTGATGTAGAGGGTGATATGAACTTTTGCCTAGCGTCCGAATTGGCTATGAAATTATGACTGTATCACCCAAGCTTCTGTTTCCGAAGAAATTGTTCACAATGTACCAAATTGAGCACTTATTAAGTGTAAATAATTATGTTGAAATCGGTACAAATTTTGATTAGCTCCTATATATATTTCTTGGTCGATTTCACCTATACTAGACGCCAAATACCCACAGTTTCTATGATTGCGATTATATTCATCGAAATTCTTCACATACAGCCTAGAATTATATATACAGTGAGTGTAAGAAGTATTTTGCCTCAATAAAAATTTGAAAAAATTCCAATATATACGCCTGAAGCCAGCAAACTGAAGATGTAAAATGACTTATGTATGATGGAGTACATTTGTGGACATATTTAGATCGTATTTCTGCAAGAATCACAGCGAAAGACCTATTGGTCTCGAAGATATCGGACGAAATATATAATAACCCACAAATGTTTATAACAAAAAAGTATTTTGCTTTTTATTATTATTTTAGAAAAAATTTTTACATTGATCACGTTTGGTCTTTTTATAGTTACAATTGCGGTTAACCACTTACTATAAGCGATTTGACCACGATTTCATTACAGCACGGCATTTTTTCGTGGGTATTTTCTCACATTTACATTCAATACATTCTCCATCAGTATTTCATTTAATATTTGGTATTTTCTCGTCCTAATCTTAAGATGAGAGTATTAAACATAGTCATTGCGGCTTCAAAACATCCCAAATATGTTTAGAATAATAAAGAAGAGGTTTTGCAAAATATAACGCGAGGACAGAATCTAAAAACTATAAAAACCAAAATCCGACAAACAAATTATTTAAAAAAAATTCGCGAAACCCAATTTTTCTGACTTCGAAATGTGTATGGTCCAGTAATATTGATCTAGGAACCAATATATGCCATGAAAATAGCAATAAGAAGGTCAGATTCTAAGATATGAACGGTTTTGTGGCAATAGTAATAAAAACCAATACTTGAAGTTGGGAGAAAACATCATTATTCGTTAAATCCTATTGTCTTTTGAAAAACTGTGGTTGCTGGTGGCGAATACGCATTCTATATTTTATCTCCGATTAACACCATCAGTTGCGAATAAAATGCAGTAGGGAATAAATGGGTCGATGTATTTATTTTCGAAATAAGATGTATTTCTATTGCCAGAAAACCGTCCATATATTTGAATCTGACCACCTTATTGCTATTTTCATCGTATATTTTGGTTCCTAGATCAGTAAAAATGAAACATAAAGTTTTCGAAGTTAGAAAAATGGGGTTTCGCGATATTTTTTTAAATAATTTGTTTGTCGGATTTTGGTTTTAATAGTTTTTAAGGTCCTGTCCTCGCGATATATTTTGTAAAACCTCCTTTTTATTATTCTTAACATATTTGGGATGTTTTGAAGCCGCGACGACTATATTTAATACTCTGATTTTAAGATTAGGACGAGAAATTACCAAATATTGAATGATATATTGCTGGAGAATGTATTGAACGTAAATGTGAGAAAATACTCGCGAAAAAATGCCGTGGTTTATTGGAATCACTTATAGTATGTCGTTACCCGCAATGGTAACTATAAAAAGACCAAACGTGTTCTATGTAACAATTTTTTCTAAAATTATAATAAAAAACAAAATACTTTTTTGTGATAAACATTTTTGTATTGTTATATATTTCGGCCGATATATTCGAGACCAATAGGTCTTTCGCTGTGATTCTTGCAGAAATACGATCTAAATATGTCCACAAACGTACTCCATTATACATAATTCATTTTACATCTTTAGTTTGCTGGCTTTAGGCGTAAAAATTGGAATTTTTTCAAATTTGTATTGAGGCAAAATACTTATTACACTCACTGTATATTAAGTATTGTTCAAATCGGTTCAGATTTATATATGACTTGAATGTATATTTTCGCTCGATTTTATGCAAATTAAGCAACTCGGTCAAGCTACTTATGACCCTTTAACAAGGTAGGCAATATACTATTCTCCAAATCCCTCTTAAAAATAACAAAAAATGCTTGTAATCCTATACCAACACATAATTTCTTCTATTTATATATACAATTTACAAAGTCACAGGCTGATGTGTGGTCAAAGCAATCATGTGTATTAAGGGGAATCAAGAAGGCAAACAAGAAGAAGAAGAAAAAATATTGCGCCAAACTGACCACCACCCAGCCAAAAGAGTTGTGATTGTAACGCCACTTGCTGTGTAGCGGTAACATGATTGTAAATCTATCCTCTCTCTGTCTCACGGTGTATTGCCAAAGGGCTTGAAATCGCAACAATAAGACGACGAAGAAGAAGATGTTCCATCGTGTTGTGCTTTGTGTTAAAGATACTTTGCCGCATCTACGGTCATCAATTGAGAAGAAAAAGACACAATCATTAAATGGCATCAATCGTATGATGATATTGTCTGTATGATCGGGAGGACCCTGGAGGATAAATAAATACAAGCCAAAAAAAATAAGAAATGAAATGTAATGCAATGGAGGAGGTAAACGTCGATTAGCAGGAGCTGTAACACATTTTAGGGGAATAAAAAAACTAAAGGGAGGATATTTGGAGAATAAATTTTCAATGACTTCTCGAGCAGCTCTATAGGCGTGGATTTTTAAAAGAATATTTGTCAAAGGTCTGGATGCCCTATAGGCGTTGATTTTTAAAGAATATTTTTCAAAGGTCTGGTAGCTCTAGATACGTGGATATTTAAAGAATATTTTTTAAAGGTCTGGTAGCTCTAGAGGCGTGGATTTTTTAAAGAATATTTTTCAAAGGTCTGGTAGCTCTAGAGGCGTGGATTTTTAAAGAATATTTTTCAAAGTTCTGGTAGCTCTAGAGGCGTGAATTTTTTAAGAATATTTTTCAAAGTTCTGGTAGCTCTAGAGGCGTGGATTTAAAAAAAAATATTTTTCAAAGTTCTGGTAGCTCTAGAGGCGTGGATTTTTAAAAAAAAATATTTTTCAAAGGTCTGGTAGCTCTAGAGGCGTGGATTTTAAAAAAAAAAATATTTTTCAAAGGTCTGGTAGCTCTAGAGGCGTGGTTTTGTTAAAGAATATTTTCCAAAGGTAGGGCAGCTCTAAAAGCGTGTATTTTTAAAGAATGTTTTCCAAAGGTCAGAGCAGCTCCATAGGCGTGGATTTTTAAAGAATATTTTTCAAAGGTCTGCCAGCTCTATAGGCGTGGATTTTTAAAGAATATTTTTCAAAGGTCTGCCAGCTCTATAGGCGTGGATTTTTAAAGAATATTTTTCAAAGGTCTGCCAGCTCTATAGGCGTGGATTTTTAAAGAATATTTTTCAAAGGTCTGGCAGCTCTATAGGCGTGGATTTTTAAATAATATTTTTCAAAGGTCGGGCAGCTCTATATGCGTGGATTTTTAAAGAATATTTTCCAAAGGTCGGGCAGCTCTATAGGCGTGGATTTTTAAAGAATATTTTCCAAAGGTCGGGCAGCTCTATAGGCGTGGATTTTTAAAGAATATTTTCCAAAGGTCGGGAAGCTCTATAGGCGTGGATTTTTAAAGAATATTTTCCAAAGGTCGGGCAGCTCTATATTTTCCAAAGGTCGGGCAGCTCTATAGGCGTGGATTTTTAAAGAATATTTTCCAAAGGTCGGGCAGCTCTATAGGCGTGGATTTTTAAAGAATATTTTCCAAAGGTCGGTCAACTACATAGGCGTTTTTTTTAAAGAATATTTTTCAAAGGTCGGGCAGCTCTATAAGCGTGGAAATTTAAAGAATATTTTTCAAAGGTCCGGCAGCTCTACAGCCGAGAATTTTTAAAGAATATTTTCCAAAGGTCGGGCAGCTCTATAGGCGTGGATTTTTAAAGAATATTTTCCAAAGGTCGGGCAGCTCTATAGGCGTGGATTTTTAAAGAATATATTCCAAAGGTCGGGCAGCTCCTTAGGCGTGGATTTTAAAAGAATATTTTCCAAAGGTCGGGCAGCTCCTTAGGCGTGGATTTTTAAAGAATATTTTCCAAAGGTCGGGCAGCTCCTTAGGCGTGGATTTTTAAAGAATATTTTCCAAAGGTCGGGCAGCTCCTTAGGCGTGGATTTTTAAAGAATATTTTCCAAAGGTCGGGCAGCTCCTTAGGCGTGGATTTTTAAAGAATATTTTCCAAAGGTCGGGCAGCTCCTTAGGCGTGGATTTTTAAAGAATATTTTCCAAAGGTCGGGCAGCTCCTTAGGCGTGGATTTTTAAAGAATATTTTCCAAAGGTCGGGCAGCTCCTTAGGCGTGGATTTTTAAAGAATATTTTCCAAAGGTCGGGCAGCTCCTTAGGCGTGGATTTTTAAAGAATATTTTCCAAAGGTCGGGCAGCTCCTTAGGCGTGGATTTTTAAAGAATATTTTCCAAAGGTCGGGCAGCTCCTTAGGCGTGGATTTTTAAAGAATATTTTCCAAATTTCCAAATTTAAGAATATTTTCCAAAGGTCTGGCAGCTCTATAGGCGTGGATTTTTAAAGAATATTTTCCAAATTTCCAAATTTAAGAATATTTTCCAAAGGTCTGGCAGCTCTATAGACGTGGGTTTTTAAAGAATATTTTCCAAAGGTCTGGCAGCTCTAGAGGTGTGAATTTTTAAAAATATTTCTTCCATAGACTATCTCAAGGGTGGATTTTGTTCAATTTTTTTCTTTCTTTTCTTAATATCTGTAAGCTCCAGTGTAGGGTATAGCGCCGTATCCACACCAAAAAGACTGGCCACAACCCAAACGAAAATGGAATTGCAACGCAAAAAGAAGATGTACAAAATTGCATGGGTGGGCTGATCAATTTTTGACAATTGCATTTTTGTGGCAGCTAAGACAAGCACTGGACGACGATACATACCCATGTTACAGCTGAGCGGCTGGAGAATAAAAAGGATGGGAATATTTCTTTCTGTGGCCAGCCGGACGATCGGTCGTTCGGTCGTTTCTTTCGGAACGATAAAATATGTTTAACGTGTCCTTAGGGATTGTTCGATTGTAGGTTGTTGTGTTACATGACATGGTCGGCTGTCCGGTGGTTGCGTTCTCGTGTTTTTTTTTTTCTTTGACTGTGGCACCATAACTCAGAGGGGTTTCCTGTAACTTTTGCTTTTGTTTTAAGATTTTGGAGGTCCAAGTCACAGCAAACAGTCATTCATCCATGTTGTTTCTGATTTTTTTTCTCAAACTTTTCTTGGCTGATGAAAGTGAAATTATTTCTACCTTTTGAGTTGCTTCTTGTCCGGGGCTGTTATGTTATAACAAGAAAGTAAAGAAGGAAGAAAACAACGACCACGACGATGATGATGATGTTGTAGAAAGAAAGATCGATGTTCCCGAGATTTGGCAATGATGGTGGCTGCGGCGGCATCGGCTTCTTTTTGTATTTTTGGTTTTAATTTAAAATTGTAACTTCGAAAATGAGAATCATTTTTTATTTTTCTTCTGCTGAGTTTTTTTGTTCAAAATTTTTGCTTGATTTATACAGCATTCAAGACGTAACATTGTTGGTACATTTGCCAAAGCAAATGTCTTTTGATGTTGTTGGAGTTTTTTTTTTCTGTTTGTTTGTCTGTTCACCCGTTGACAGTTAATTTAAATTTATGTTGTGGTTTTAAGAAAATCATAAATTTTCCCACCAAATACCCACTTCTGATTTTTTTTTTATTTTCGAGAAGATTCATTCGTTTGTCCATTTGTTACGCTGCGCGAATATTTATTTTAACGATTTGCAATGAAAGCCAAAAATTTGTCACTGTGTAAACGGAATATTTATGTCTTTATTGTTTTTTGGGTAATTGCATTTAACGTCAACAGTAGAGATAGATAAACACACAAAACAAAAGACTTAAGACACAAACTGAGGGCTATTAAAGTTAATTGGTTTTTAATGTCTATATATTTGACAAAAATAGATAAATAAATTATCTGATGTTTAAAAATTATAAGAAATTTGTTATTTACTTTTTGTCATTTAGTTGTGGGAACAAATAATGAAATAATGAAAATTTTAACCCTTTCAGTGTTTTTGTCGAATATATTCGACATTTAAAATTACTCTGTTTCTTTATATGATTTTAAATCCAAAGTTTTCGATTTTTATCCCGACAAAAATTTTTTTGACACTGAAAGGGTTAAAGGATATTTTTCAAAGGACAGACCGAGGGGAAATATTTTTTCAAGGATAATAAAATCTATAAGCGTGGACATTTTAAGAATATTTTTAAATTACCATTAGGTTTATAAGCAGGGCATTTTTAAAACATTTTCATATAATATTTTTCAAAATAGTGCCAAGTCAATTGAAATAATTGAATTCATTATACCCTACACAACTATGTTGTCAGAGTATTATAGCTTTGTACAGCCCCAAAAGCTTGTAACGCCCACCTTTAAGTATACCGATCATCATATCTCGACTAGGTGATTCGATCTAGACATGTGTCCATCCGTCCGTCTGTCCATTATATTTTGTAAACATGATACAGGCCACAGTTATGAATCAATCTTCACGAAATTTTGCATGTAGGTTCTGGCCAATGAAGCCCCCTATTGTTTTTGTTTAATTTTTGTCGGTTTTTCTGGTCGCTCCACTGGTCGCAATTATGGCCCAAACATCGTAATTTTTTACATGAGGAATGGGATCGGGTCAAAGCATGTCTGTTTTGATAAAGATCGGTCAATATTTAGTGGGTCAAACGGACCCTGACTTTTGTGTGAAAAATTACAAAATTTGTATTTTATTGTGTATATATTTACTCCTGAAAGACATATACCCGAGAAATTGATACCAATTATATTGTCGTATGTACTCGGATGTGGGAGTTACACGTAAATATTTACAGGTACTTAAGTACTCAGATATTATTTTAGTAACCCATTATCACCCTAGAGGGCGGAAATATAGCGCTGATCACTTTGAAATGTTCCATGAGGTTCCAGTGATGGTCAAGTACAACGCCTATAATCGGTGATGATCAGAATTTTGGGATGAAGTGGGCCGAAAACTTTTTTTTCCAAATCGAAAGCCGAACATCACAACACAACCCACGGTAAAGGGAATATGGACAAGTAAATAGAAGGGAAAAGTTAAATTT